AATTGCTTTGAAATGAAGTGCTAAACGATTGCCAAAGCAGTGATTGCAATTTTTCTAAACAGTTGACAGCAGCAGTTCTAGTACTTCGCTGTTCTTGGCATACTTGACCAAGTAAATATGGGGTACCCAATAAATATATTTGTTTAGGATTGTGTCGGTGGACTGTAAATCAAATCCTCTCATAAACGCAGAACTTGTAAGACACGCCATCCTCTTCCCGGACTTCAGATGACACTTTTTCGTCTCTAAAATGAACAATTTTAAAATTTAATTTCATATCATGAACATCACAAAGTAACTCAATAACAATTCTCCGAACTTTGAAATCCCACCCGGTTCCCAACAAAGCATGAAACATCAAAAAGGATAAAAAATAAACTTCGATTTCCAATGTAGCGATGCTTTATCAGTCTTTGCACTATCTGCACATTGTATAGCCATCTCTATGGCCGCTCYATGGCGTCCGTCGGGACTTCAACTTATCTGCCCTCGGCTTCGGGGACATTTAATCCCTAATCTCCCTCAGAGGCATGCTATTACTTATAATAAAACACCTGACTCTGTAGACGATGTACTTAATGAGGTTATTTGGAATAATAAATGTATTTATATAAATAATAATTCAGTTTTTATAAGAAATATTTATTTGGATGGATTTGTAAAATAGGCGATATCTACAATAACAACGGTTTAACTATAGAAATGTTTCATAATTAGGACCCCTAGAAATATTCAACCTTAGACAAATACTTCATGCATTTCCACAATCCTGGCGCAAAATTCTTAAAGGAAACTGGGCAACTAATACGGACATCGTCAATGTAAAACCGCTCCAAATTAATGAAATCTTAATCCATAGTCATTCGGGGAAAACTATAAAAATTGAGAATTTAACATCAAAAAAAATATATAATATATTGCTTCAAAGAAAACCTCTTCTCCAGCATCACAAAAGAAGTTTCAATCGAAATATATCAATACTGTCAATGTAATTGATTASCAAAAGATTTACATGATACATTTTAAATGTGTACTCAATACAAAAACACGTGAATTTCAATTCAAAATCCTACACAGAATTCTTTTTACAAAACAACTACTCTTCAAAATAGGGAAAAGCGATTCCACTTTCCTTTCCTTCTGTAGTTCTCAGGAAGAGACTATTGAGACTATCCTGAAGTCCAGCTTTTTTGGTTAGCAGTAAAAGAAAAATTGTTTAAAGAATTCGAAATTCACTATATTGATTTTAAAGAGTTGGACATTATTCTCGGAATAACAGAGGAAATTACAGATTATATTTTGATAAATCACTTATTAATTTTAGCGAAATACTACATATATCAAAATAGTTTAAGTTTTAAAAAATCCMAATTATATTTAGCCATTTTCTTGCATAAAATTAAAATAACATATCAAATTGAACTCAGGATAGCTAAAGAAAAAGAAAAACTCGATTTTCACTACTTCAAATGGAACAAACTCCTAGATTTTATGGAATCTTAGTTTATTTAATTTCAGTATAAATCTTTGTCTAKGCTTGTTTTTGTTTTATTTTTGTTATATTTTTTTCTTTTCTTCCTCTATCATAATGTAAAGTAATATTATTGTAAATAAGCTAATTTAAGGATAATGTACCTATTTAATTGTGATGTTTTTTTTTTGTTTGTTTTGTTATATTATTGTATTGCTGTTTATTAAAAATCTTAAAAAAAAAATATGGGGGTCCAGTTCGTTGAATTGAGCATACGAAAATCGCGAGTTTAAGTTTCGTGCTTCTTATTTTTCTTCATTGTCGTCGCTTATCAGTCACAAATTGTCCACAGTTAGCCCAAGCTCATAATCACGTGATATTCTAAAAATGCTATTTAGAGGCCAAATTAGCGAAATATTATTATTTTCCTCGATAGAACATCTAAATTAAAGTATTATTGCGAAATTTTGAGCCAAAATATTGCCTTTTAANTTTTTGGCTGTTTTTGACCCTGAAATGTTCTGTCATGACTCAAGAACACCCATAAATAGTGTAACCTACAACGAGGAAAAACACTGGCGTCATTGGACTGATTGGGACCGTTTAAAATCTTATTTAAGAAATGTTGATATTAATGACTTTGTGTTTACAATATGGAGGCTTCAGTGGTTTATATACGCAACTACTATTCCAGTTTTTGCTGAGTGATGGTCAAGATTCAACGCAGGTTATGAAGTAAATGGTAAATGTACACATGTAGTAATATAATTAGGCATCGTTTAGTAACATCGACCTCGAAATGTTCGAAAGACAGTTTCTTGAAGTGTACAATATTTACGCTTAAATATTATTAACTGTTACATGAAATACTACTTTCCTTTTATATACCACCAGGACTCATTAGAATAAGGCTACCAATATCAAGACTTATGCTTTGCAAATGGTTTGATAATGTTTTCTTGTCTATGAAAAATGTGGAACGGTGTTAATTCTGCAAATTCTTACGTGCTGTTGAGCACTCACGACAGATTTAGCATTCTTTTGGCTGAAGAGTTGAGCTTGTTTGAATCAAGTTATCATAAATATCTATGTGTAGTTCTATAGCTGTATCATTATAAGTTATGAAATAAACTATTGCAGTGCAATCGATTCACATCTTAGGAATTTATTATTGCTAAAAGTGTGCACAAATAATTCACTACATTTTAACGGTACAAAGTGGCTTCGCGTTATAAATCTAGCCCGTGACTCACAGTAATTTATATAATGTTTGAAAGATATTCATGTGCATTGTAAATATATCTACTTGGTTTTGTTTGGAAAAATGTGGAAGATAAGAAAAAAACTTCAATTATGTTCAGAATCCAAGCTTYCGCAGCTGACTACAATGTTATTCTACCCGTATTCTAGAGCCCATGGTCGTTATAACGCAGCGGTTGCGCGCATGCTCATGCATAACGGCCCCTTGTTGTTTGAAAMCGGGCTACTCGAACTTCACATATCACAGAAAACTGTATACAAAAATATATTTTTTACCTTCATTATCGACTCGATGGAATACCATTTTTTCTTAGCTATGGTGCTCCGCTCGCGCGTGCCTTCGGCCCGCGCTGGAGCTCCGCTATTAAGATTTTTCATTTTTTCACACAAGACCCTCAGAGWAAAGCCGACAAATGCAGTGCTTGGGCTACCTGTGATTAAATTCAGCTTTGAAAGCGTCGGATTCCATACGCTGAATCCTTCACTATGTACGTCACATTTTCGTCATCTCGGACCAATCAGCACGCGAGTTTATTATGTGATTCTAATGCTTAGTGTCCGTATAACCGCCGGAATCGTCCCAATCGACCAAAAACATTTCCCCATTGTTGTTAATTTCCTTGAGGAAACTAGAACTAGACTTGCCACAAGTCGGACTCTCTTCGGACTCGCCAAAAAATAAAGTTTCAAGAATTCAATTTCGAGGGAAAGCCTAATAGATACATTGTACGTAAAATTGCAATTAGGTCTCATCACACAAAATATTCATCTTCTCTATATTTAGTATTTCTATAGTTTTGACCGTGTTTGTATAAATTGCTTGTGGATAGCGAAAATACTGATAAAGCATCACCACAAATGCGGACAAACGTGTAATTTATACCTAATCGGCTTATAGATATTTCTGTCAAATTCTGGATAGAAAACATCGCATCCATATTCATAATCTATTTCTGTGGTGTAAAGCTTCCTGCAAGATTTATGATCCATGGCATCCTGATAGATAATTGATAAACAAAATAATAGAAGTAAGTAATAGAAGATTTTTTCCTTGACTTTACCGGTGAAATAGAGCACGCGTGATGTTGGGAGAGACACGAGAAAAGTTTTAAAGTCACGAGTCGCCAGGCGACCGACCCTCACATCAAAAAAGGCTGATCGCCGGGGCTCCCATAATTCTCGGGCGTATAAATATAGCCTTGCGCCTCGTGACTTGTGTCAAATGTTCTCCGTTCACAACTTGGAGTACTGGCTCAGTAAAAATGTTTTTTTTTTACTAAATTTCCCTCTAATTCATGCAAGGGAAATTTAGTAAAAGACAATACTAAATTTCCCTTGCATAAATTAAATATAGAGAAATTTAGTAAAAGACAAAAGAATCCTTTGTCCTCTAAATTTCCCTCATGTTATTCATGAGGAAAATTGGGGTTCCTTTGCCTTCTATAATTCAATCCCTAATGCAGTCCACAATGCAAATATAGTAAACTAGATACCCCTTATAAGAGATTATACTGAACACAAGTGTCCTACACCATCTGGCACTAACATGTCTTGCATGTGGGACAGTTTTTTACGTAACTGCGCATGCCTGTCCTCTTAGTTAAAAAAAAAACGAAAATGCCTATGACAGGTTTATGCGCAGTCTCACATACAAATTATYATAAAAATCACTTTTTGAAATCATTTGTAGCACCACATTGCACTTACACTTTTGCCAACTCGAAATGAAAGAAATAGCGTTTATTACAGCAATCTTAATTTATTGAACTTCGTTGTCTGTTCTATACGAAAATCTCTCAGCCATGTTGTTTGTGCATTGTATACGAATTTTAATTCGGCAATATAAATATTATATAGGGGCAACAAAACAAGTGTATGAAATAGTACTAACGAACCAATGTTGAATTAATTACAAAATAGAAGACAAAGTAACATATTTATATCAAGCCAAGGTGAACAACATGCTAATGAGCTAGTTTTGCATTTTGGCGTTGTTTACGCTTCCTTGATTAGAAAACTKGACATGATATCAAAGATGTCTCCTTACTTCTTCGCCGATCATAGTATTACAAAGTAATACAATGTCTATACCACAAGGACCCCCGAACCTTTTGTTCTTAAAGCAACATGTCGCACCATTTCACCGTTGATCCCAAAATATACTGATTCGGGAAACTCTTCATCAGTCGGCACAAACAGTAGCGATCCCAGTTCAGCTGGTTGATGATCAGGGTGCTTTTGCTGTAGTTGCTCCATAACTTCATCAGTCAGCTGTAGCAAACCTACTACTGGTACTTTCGCTCAAGATTTTGGGCTTGGCTTTTGAAGGCCCACAGSAAGCACAAAAGCCGCTTTCAGAGAAATGTGTTGACAATTGGTTTTGTTGTTCCAGCCATTGATATGCGATGCAACTTGGTCTATGGAGACTCTCCCCGTTCTACCGTAGGTAACGAGAAATGCATTTTCTCCAGGTCACAGTCTCATTATAGGCATCTGTTATGACCTGAGTTTCGAAAAATAGTTCGCTGATGAAGATGGCGGACAACTAGCTCTCATAGTATGACAGGAAAAAGGGCACATAACTCGAAAAGRAAATAGACTGAGCGAATGAATGTCGATGTATTAAGTTGTAAAGTAGAGGCCATTGCTTTAGCCAAACGTGAAAACCCACCGCTTGATCAAAATGGTAAAAAGAAGGGATATATCCAACTTATGGAAGAACTTTGGAATTCAAAAGACTATGGAGGACTTGGTTTTTCGCGTCAAAATCTCAGGGATCAGCCTGAAGCTGTCTACTTACAGATTAATGGAGAGATGATTAGACAGGGTGCTTTGAGCAAAGGTGCGGGGGCCCCATGTGGAGTCGATGCTAATGGCTTTCGTAGGATACTTGCATGCAAGTCCTCCAAGCAGTCCTCATCAAGACTAGGYGAAGCTTTAGCTCAAATGACCAAGATCATGTGTACGCAGTATACTGACCCCACTACTAGAGCTACTTAATATGTCAAGTCAATTGATTCCTCTAGATAAAGGGGAAGGAGCTGTGAGGCCTWTTGGCGTAGGTGAAGTCTTGAGAAGGATTATCGCAAAGTGTGTCATGAGTGTTGCCAAGGATGATGTAGCTCAAGCGAGTGGCCTCTCCAACTTTGTGCTGGGCAGAAGTCAGGAACAGAAGCAGCCGTCCATGCAATGCATTCTATTTTTGAAGTGGATGAAACCGATGGAATACTATTGATCGATGCAACTAATGCCTTTAACTCACTCAATAGAGCTGCAAGACGACACAACATTTGCATATTGTGTCCTATTATTTCAGTRTTTGCTATCAACGCCTACAGAATTCCTGCTAGACTATTCACTACAGGAGAAAAGGAGATTCTTTCATCAGATGGAACAACACAAGGGGATCCATTGTCTATGGGTGTCTATGCCTTGAGTATAAAGCCTTTAATAACAGCAATAAAGCAAACTTCAAGCACCAAGCAATGTTGGTTTGCGGATGACGCAAGTGGAGCAGGCTCTCTTAGTGAGATAAAGAACACTCTTACTGAAATTGGTCCCGACTTTGGATACTTCCCAAATGCAAAGAAGTGTTGGCTTATTGTAAAGCCTGAGAAAGAAGAGTCTGCTAAAGAATTGTTTCAATCGACGGCTATAAATGTCACAACCGAAGGTCATCAACACCTTGGCAGAGTGATTGGATCACAGGAATTCCACGATGGCTATGTTAACGGCAAAGTAAATAAGTGGGTCCTTGAAATAACAAAACTAGTCGAAATCGCTATAACAGAGCCCCAAGCTTGTTATTCGGCTTACATTTTTGGAAAACGCAAATCTGGGGGACTTCAACAACGACGAGGAGTATTAAGCACTGCACCGCTCGAGCCCCGTCCAGTAAGAGCTATATATTATTTCTGTAGGAGATATGCTAATGAGGCAATATGAATAGGGGAGGTGTGGTCAAAACGAGTAGGAGGTATAAATTATTTCAGTAATTCAGTAACTGAATGAATGAGTAACTAACTTAAATGAAGAATCAATACCATGCTATTTTTATCAAGCTATTCATTGCTTAGAGACCAGGCCTTTGATAAAAGATTTTATTGTAGCTGGAAAAAACTATTCCATCCATAATTTTGACCAAAGATAATTTAAGCTCAACTTCGAAAGGGTTTGGTTCATTTGCTGTCAGACCATGAAGCGAACCTGTCCTATTTGTAAGGTTAGTAGAAGCAATCTGTGGAATCATTTAACACTTACMCGTCACATGGAGGGTGATTTTCGATAGAAGTGGCTTGATTATGAAAAGAAGCAATCACCCTTTTACCTGTATGGTCTCAGGGATGACCGGATGTGGAAAACAACCTGGGTTCTACGTCTTGTGCGCAACAAAGCTCACACTATTAAACCAACACCACAGAAAATCTTATGGTGTTACTCAAGATGACAGCCCGCCTATGAAGAAATGATGCACACCATACCCGAGAATTGAATTGAATTTGCGAGGGGAATTCCAGCCATCATTGAGCTGGATGATTATTTTGACGTCAACATACGAAATCTGATTGTTATTGATGATCAAATGAGCTCTGCCAGTAATGACAAGTAATCAACTGATTTACACAGGGATCCCATCATCGCAACCTTGGTCCAAAATCCTTTTCATCAAGGCAAAGGAAATAGGRACATCAGCTTAAATTGTCATTATTTGGTTATCTTCAAGAACCCTAAAGATAAACTTTAAATTCTTACACGAGCAAATCAAATGACCAAACTACAAAATTATGACATCAACCATTACGTCATCAACTGGGTCGGAGATTTTTTGAAAGGAAGAAAACAARGAGTTAAATTGGCAAATGATTGCTTATCGGAATGGAAACAAGTCCCAACYGGTGTGCCACAAGGGACCAAATTGGGTCCTTGGTTATTTGTAGTAATGATTAACGATTTATATGTTCCATCTGCTAACGGCGTTTTCAAGTGCGTCGATGATACTACTCTTTACGAGGTCGTCCCTAAACGTTCAACTAGCAATGCCCAAACATGTCTAGATGAAATTTTGTCTTGGTCTTCATCCAACAAATTCACCATCCACCCAAAGAAATGCAAAGAATTGAGGATTTCCTTTTCAMGTASCCCAACAGAAAGAGAGAACGCAACTATCAACGAAACGGAAATACTGCCAACTGACCTAAAGTGGAATTCACACATATCAGAGATGATTAAAAAAGCTGCTAAAAGACTTTCTTTTCTCCGTCAGCTAAAACGATCAAAAGTTGGCCTCGCAGACTTGGTCAAATTTTTTACAGCCTGTATCAGGTCCGTCCTCTTATACGCTTGCCAAGTATTCCACTATAATTTACCTGAATATTTAAGCTCTTCTATAGAGAGAATCCAGAAACGTGCTTTAAAAATCATATATGGCTATGATGTGCCCTATAGCGTCGCCTTGAACATCTCAGGTCTTGAAACACTTCGTGATACACGAGAACAGCATTGCAAAAAYATTTTTGAAAGGATCATTACGGAAGATAAGAACAATCTGTATGATTTGCTTCCTTTCAAAACAAAGAAAATTTAATATACCTATTTGTAAAACCAATCGCTATAAAGAATCTTTTATAATAGCAAGCTGTCATAATTATGATAAGTAATAGAAGGATGTGTATTATAATTATATTATATTATATTAGTTTTTATTACGATATTTAATTACGCAATTCAGCACCTCAGCTGCAATGTAATGTATTTTAATAAAGTTCTTTCTTGAAATGTATCCAAGAAAAACTCGCCATTTTCTTCAGAAATACACTGCTGTATACTGCCCAGCATTCTGAGCCATAGAGAAGGGTAGGTAGCACTACCGCCWTGTAGATTTTCACTTTGGTATCAGTTTGTATGCCTCTCTCCTCAAAGACCCTCTCACGCATTCTTTCATAGGCATAGCTGGCAGCCCGAAGGCGATGTTGGATCTCATCATCGATATTAGCTTTGTCCGAGAGGAAGCTGCCAAGATATGGGAAAAATTCCACATTCTTCAAGAACGACTCATTGATCTTAAAGGAAGGCAGGACACTGACTTAGCCTGGCAAAGGTTGGTAGAGGATCTCAGTCTTCTTCACATTCACACACAGCCCAAGTCTTTGGTAAGCATRCACAAACGAATCCAGAATATGGTCTGGAGGTTTCTGTGAGAGGTGGMACAGACACAGTTGTCATCAGCGTATTGGAATTCAATGACAGAGGTTGTACGTGTCACGGTTTTAGCTTTCAGCCTTTTCAAATTGAAGAGTCCCCCGTCGAATCGGTGAGGGATATTGACTCCTTCAGGAAGTGTATCTTTCACCAACTGAAATATTACTGATATGAAGATCGAAAAGAGCATAGGGGCAATTACACATCCCTGTTTGACACCAGTACGTACTGCAAACGACTCACTGTTGGAGCAGCTGTCAAGGACTCTTACTACCATGCCTTCATGTAGAAGTCGAAGAATGTTTATGAATTTCTCAGGGCAACCATATTTGGCCTTAGATAGATAAATGAAAGCCATGTAGAGTGGTTGATGTTGTTCGCGGTACATTTCTTGAAGTTGCCAAGCTGAGAAGGTCATATCCGTCGTACCTCTGTTGTTGCGGAAACCGCACTGCGACTCAGGAAGAAACGTTTCAGCATGTGGGCGGAGTCGATCCGCCAAGATTCAGGTATTTATCTTCCCTGCGATGACGAGAAGTGAGATACCACGATAATCACCACACTCAGATTTGTCTCCTTTCWTGAAGACCTTAACAATGTTTGCGTCACTCAGATCGGGCGCTAGTACCTCTTTTCCCAAATGAGATCAGGGTCCGTGCAGAGTATCAAAAACGAAATTTAAGGACTTTTCAAGGACTTTTTTCCAGGACCAAAATTGTATTTTCAAGGAGCATCAAAATCATGCTAATTGTACATTCTTACCTCAAAACTCCAGCTGAACAGAATAATTCAGAGATCGCTAGCGCTTCGTTATAAAGATCCATCTTTTTCAAGGAGTTTTCAAGGACTTTTTCGAAATTTTCAAATTTTCAAGGAGTTTCAAGTGCCCTTGAAAACGAGTTTTCAATTCAAGCACTTTTCAAGGATTTAAGGACCTGCACGGACCCTGTGAGATGAATKAGTTTGTAGGAAGCACGGAAGGAAATAAATTATCATGCCCAATCACCCATGCCCTCCTTGTTGACGATTTGAAACAGAAGGCAGTAACTTTTACAGCCAGGGTGGAGAAGATGTTTGCAGATATTGGGTTAGAATGGAGAATTAACAAGTGCGCTGCAATGCACATGAAACAAGAAAAAATGACAACCAATTGAACAACTCCGCTGAAATGCCTGTAAGAAACTACTCAATCCCATGCAGTGAGGATCATTACAAATCCCGATGAAATTATCAGAACAGTTGGCATCTAGAGGGTAAAGTTATTGAACAAACATCTAAACGAATCTAGTACTTTGGGCAATCTGGACTYCTCCACTAAATCAGTGTTACTTAAAAGTTATGCCATTCTTACCTTACAGTATCACATGGGCCCCTAAATGACCTTAAAGATATCGACTGACAGACAAACAAGAAAAGGCATCAATGATTGCATTGGAAAGCACAAGTACTAATCAAAACCATTACTATACTTAAATCCAAAACAAGGAAGGAAATGATAAGTTGAATTAGAGTTAAAGGCATTTTACTACATCAACTACTCAAAGATCAATACATCAAAATTGTAAATACATTCCAGCAAAAAAAAGGACAGTCATTTAAGATAGATTTTAAAAGATGCCAAGTAGTGTGAAGAAGAGCTAAGCATTCACTGCCATTTCAATAGTGCCACAATGCTTATATATAGCAACAAAGAAATAGAGGATATTTTCTATGCTCACTCGTGAGAGATCTTTTCAACATGTAATATCCTGAAAACTGATAGAAGTACACCATAGGAATGATTTGATTACATCTCTGMTGATAACAAGGCATCATAGGATTTATCTGATTGCCCCCTACTGATAAAAGTAGATCATGGGAATGATCTGATTACCCCCTAGTGATAGAAGTACATCATAGGAATGATTTGATTACATCTCTGCTGATAACAAGGCATCATAGGATTTATCTGATTACCCCCTACTGATAAAAGTAGATCATAGAAATGATCACTGCTTCCTAGTAGGGACAACTCAATATCCCTACAGCTGTCTTCTTTTTGTGGTTACTCCCGTCTTTTAGACGGGGAACCACTATGTTATCGGTTTGTAGGTCAGTAAGTTAACTATYACGTGACTTGAGACTTTCATGCCACTATACCCCCCTCCTGGGGATGAACATTCTGCATTGTGTCCCACCCTTCGAATCTGACCCCAGATTTGCCGCCTATAAAATTATACCTTACCCCGTCATGTCTATGYTTATCTGTTATGAGAAGCCGTCTGTTATATATGACGATTTTTTTGTATTTCCATCAATGTGGGCTTTCATCAATGCTTCGCTTCAATTTCATACGTCGAAAAATCGTACGCATATGCGCATTAGCTTCTTAYTTGTTATGAACGATGACGCTGACCAAAAAGAACGATCTGACATGACGTAAGACGATGCCATGACAACTACGAAATGACGCTGGTCAAGAAAAACGCTAAATCTAAACGTATTAGGAGTAACCACATGCGCTCCTTGAGCGACTTTAATTAATTCTGCAATGAAATTATTATTGTCTCAGTCACACTGAAATGTGGGATGATTTTTGGGCCAAATTGACCGAGTAGATCTGGTTCCGAGTCACTACTTCGTGCCGCTGAGCATGTGCACTTGGCGAACTTCAATGTTTGATAATAGTTGATAAGCYTCTTGGCATTATACTTGCAAATATAAAAACTACTTTTCAGGGTTGTTCATTAACTTCACCATTGAATAGAACGTTTAAAAGTTTGTGGTGGGAAATCAGTAACAATGGTCGGATTACCAATATCATTTTGTACWGTTGTTCTGCGAAAACCTTTTCAATGACACAATAAAGTACTTGATACTCTTAGAACAGTGCGTATCCGTTCTTTTCATGTCACATTCCAATTCATGCATGMATTGTTTGTTGCAATGTTTATATTACTTCTGATTGAAAACATTGGAACATGCGGAAAAACAAGAATTCAAATTTGCTCATGTTCAACTTCAATTTTTCCTCAGAAATCATGGTATTACAAAGTAATAGCATGGCTTCCTTGGGAGATTAGGGATTAAATGTATCTCAGCCTCGGGAAGATASCTTATCTGCCCTCGGCTTCTCATTTAATCCCTAATCTGCCTCGGAGCCATGCTATAACTTATAAAAAGTACATCATAGGAACGATCTGATTACCTCTCTGCTGATAACAAGACATCAAAGGATTGATCTGATTACCCCTTACTGATAGAAGTTTTACATCGTGGGATAGATCTGATTACCCCCTTCTGGTATAAGTACATCTATYAATAGGATTGGTCTTATTAGCCCTTATTATTTTTTTTTGTGAAGGAATAAGAATCCCAAACAATCAAAACTGCTTTATGATGTTAACTCCCAAATTTCCCAAAAGTCACTAGAAAATTTTTAACTTAATATCGACATCTTTAAAGTAGGGATAATTAAATGTAAGATCTAACCAAATCATCTACTAACTATGACCAAATCAATTTTGTTAGAGGACATATTCATACTCTTTGAAATGAATTACTGCACAATGGCGGAATCATGATCCATAAATATTATTTGTCTTAATCGTAATCTTAATCTTTCAATTAACAAAAAAAACAACAACAAAAAACGTTAAATAAATTGCAAATGAGTTAACACTACATGTTGAACTCCAGTTACCACTTCACAGGCTTTCCACTCTTTTGCTTTTTTGTGCCACTTGTTACATAAAATATAGTTCAAGATTTTTTCATTGAAATGTATCAGGCTAAATCACAAAGGAAATCAGCCAATCACAGTAACATTTAACATGATTTATGTACATGTAATTATTACCTTATACACTGCAGCACCACCTATTACAAATACTCTCTCAATCTTGCTTGCAAGGGGTTCCTTGAAAACCAAATCCAGTGCATCATCAAGGCTTGAACACATGTAATGAACACCACTTGGTGGATTTCTTCAAACATAAAATAATGAATGGTGAATGGAAATATGGAAAAATAATAATAGTTTTGTACTTGTTCCCATGTTCTTATCCATTCATTTGTGGTCAGGTAGGACAAACAACTAAATAAGAAACAATTTTGGGACTAATTGAGCTAATTATAGATATTATGCAGGGGGAGCATAATCATGTTAAAATTAAGAATACGATGCGCAATTTTCATACTAATATATAATCCCTTTGCATTTCCAATCAGCTCAGTCCCATTTTACTACATACAAATAATTCTTAAAAAATAATACAGTAACAATATGTTTCTAATTTTCTGATAATTATAGAAGTTCAGTTTTTAATAAATGYGCAGCTCTAAATACTTATTGTTCATTCACATGTCCATGATACACTCTCCTGACAGCTGGGCACATAGGAGTCTTCATGGCTAATATAACTGAATTTGCTACACTTTGATATAATGGAAAAAATCAATCCCCTTCATTCACCTAGGCTTATGATAAAAGATGTTCAGCGTAATATAATCTAATACAGTACTAATATACTATGATATCTAAGTGTAGATTAGTCATCCAGTCGTTAATAATTAAATAAAGTGATAAGTCAAATACTGGAATAAAGTTGAAACGATTCACGACGTTTCGATCGATTACACCAATCTTCCACAGGTAGAATGACCAGTTGAACCACCAACCAGGGTTTTATTGTGAGGCAAACGGCGAGTAACACCTTTCAGAACAACATCCCATGAGTGTGGTAGGTTGAAATGTAGGCCGCCCCTTCTGTTTAAGGTGGGATTTTCAATTCGTTCATAGATGGCTTCTTTAATCCCTCTCCTACGCCAATCAGCTTCTCTGTCCAGAATGGTGACGTCATTGTCAATATCAAAAGTGTGATCTACTTTCACAAGATGATTGAACACAGCTGAATTCTGTGCTTCCAAGACGTTGGGTTTCTTGTGTTGACGCATTCTGGCTTTTAGCGCTTGCTTCGTCTCACCCACATATGTTTCTGTGCAATCCTCATCTCCACATGTAATACCATTCCATTGTCTGTGCTCTTATGCTCAAAACTCAGTGGAACCACGAGCGTAAGCGAGTTTTGAGTTTTGAGCATTTTTGACATCAATTTCATTGTCAATAAGAGTACAGACAATGGAAAACCGCCTGCAAATTGTTAATTATCAAYACCATCATAATTTCTTAGTTTGATGTGATGATACTTTCACTTTCAATGCTGACCTTTCTTTGGCAGTATGTTTTCTCTGTTGATGAAATATCGTCCCATGATGTATTCAAAGGGTGCTTTCCATTTAGGTAGAACTGGCCAGCCAGTCCGCTCTATTTAGAGGTATATTATGCTTTTTGTCAACATTTTTCAGTCATTTTGAGGTTTTCAATAGAATAATGGATAGAATTTGAAAATTTGAATTTCCCGACTAAATAGGAATGATATATAATGACATTTTTCTCTGGGTGTGGCCAGCCAGTTCTGACAAATGGAAGCGCCCAAAGTAGACAAGATTGGAATCGTATGACCGCTAGTCAAACTTGTTATGGCTGAGTTAAGAGTTTCTCGTTTCTTGCCTTGGTTTTCAATTTTGTCTGACCATACGCTGATTTCGTGTTCTGGTATGCTTTCTTGAGAAGAACCGGTGTGTTCAACGAGCACTTTGCAAGTATAGGACCCAAACTGGCAGAGGAAATACCTGCTAATTTGACTGGTCACTCGCATCTTGATTACCTAACAGTTCATAATCAGGAGTATAATTTTCAATTCCAAGAGACAAGTCCAACTGCAGTTTTCTCCCTTCTGTCTAAACTATGTAAATCTAAGGCTACAGGTTTAGGCAAGATTTCTGCCAAGCTACTCCGTATCTGTCCTGACTTGATAGCAGAGTCTCTGTGCGCTATTTTAAATTGTTCTATAAATACAAGCATTTTTCTCTCAGACTGGAAATGTTCGAAAGTCATACCACTTTTCAAAAAAGGGGAACGCAGGGACCTTAGCAACTACCGTCCTATTTCAATCATTCCGGTTGTTGCTAAGGTTTTTGAAAGAATAATTTATAATCAAGTTTATGCGTTCCTAGTGGATAGTGATTTTCTGACAGGTAGTCAGTCCGGTTTTCGAAGCCTTMACTCTACGGCCACAGCTCTTTTAAAAGCCACTAATTGCTGGGCCTACAATATTGACAGTGGCAACGTARACTTGGTAGTATTTTTGGATTTGAAAAAAGCTTTTGATACCGTGGACCACGAGATTCTGCTGCAAAATTGCAWGCATATGGAATTCGGGGTGCRGCAGGCATTTGGTTTGAGTCCTACCTAAGTGGTCGTAACCAACAATGCAGCATCAATGGCCACCTCTCAAATAGTCACTCGCTACTATGCGGCGTTCCTCAAGGAACTATTTTAGGGCCTTTGCTGTTTTTGCTTTATATAAATGACTTGCCAAATTGCCTGGCACATGCTGAACCACGTATGTATGCTTACGACAAGCACCTAACCTTCGCAAGTAGTAAAATCCAAGATATTGAACTTTATTTAAATCAAGATCTTGCAAATGTTAACCAGTGGTAGCCTCCTCCGCAGGCATCACTAAGAATCACTGGCTTCCTGTCTTTTATTTTTGCTATCTCGTCACTAGTCCCTAACSGCCAAAATGACCGTTACAAAGTAAGCCCAAAGGAGGAAAAAAGAGTTGCCTGTGGAGTAGGCTAAACCAGTGGCTCATTTCGAACAAGTTGACACTTAATCAATCAAAAACCTAGTTTATGCTCATTGGGTCTAGGCAAAGAAAAACCTTGCAATCAACGGGATGCCAATCAAAAAGGTTTCTCAGACTTAATCTCTGGGTGTGTGCGTAGATGAAAGCCTTTCATGGAATGTGCACATCAAYGAAATCACAAAAAAGATTGCATCTGGAATCGGGGCACTAAAGCGCTTGCGACCCTTTGTSCCTTTAAAGACCCTAATGACCATATTTAACTCCTTAGTCCAACCCCATTTCAATTACTGCTGTGAAGTTTGGGATGASTGCTCTAAAACTCTAGCTGTCAAGCTACAAAAGAYTCAAAACAGAGCAGCTAGGGTGTTAACCTATTCTGACTATGACGCTAGTGCCGAACCTCTTTTTGAAATCCTTGGCGTGCAAAATCTAGAGTCGCAAAGAAAATTTCATAAGSCTGTCATGGTTTACAAATCCTTGAATGGACTCGCACCTGAATATATGCGATCCATGTTCACATACCGTGACACCGTATACTCTCTGAGACACGCCGAGGGCAAACTAACTGTACCAAAGCCCCGTACCAACTACTTGAAAGATAGCTTTAGCTATAGTGGTGCGGTTCTCTGGAACAGTTTGCCAGTAGAGTTACGCCAAGCAGAAACGTTAACAAGTTTTAATGCTAGGCTGCAGTAGAGTGCATGTCATAAATGTGTGAAACAATAGCGTAACTATTTTTTGGGCGTATCGGTATTAAGTTGCATAGCTGCTAACTTCGTAGTTATTTTCTTCATATAAGAATTGATTCAGGCGTAAAAACAAAGACACAAAGAAATCAAAGATAGACGCATTTCTTTGTGTCTTTGTTTTTACGCCTGAATCAATTCTTATATGAAGAAAATAACTACGAAGTTAGCAGCTATGCAACTTAATACCGATATGCCCAAAAAATAGTTACGCTATTGTTTCACACATTTATGACATGCACTCTAGTCAAGTCTAAGTTTATACCATTTATACTATTTCTAGTTCTAATGCACGGCTCTCATGGAAAGCAGGCTTTTAGTGTTATATTATACTATAGTTATTATTTTATATAGATTTTTATTTAGTGTATCCCATTCATAATTAGTTATTGTCTTACTTTAATTGTTATCATATACAGCCTTTTGCAAAAATTATGAGAATTGTTGAAATATCTAAATATCATAATATCGAGTGCATGATGGGTAATCCCGCGCGATGCCCTTTTGTCCCTTGTCTTTGTAGTTTAGTTTTTTTTGGCGACAGACTTATCCGTAGTTCTGAACATTTCTCGATGTCAACAATGAATTATTCTAGCAAACCCTCGTGTTCCAGACAATATATGGATATGGATATTATGATATTTAGATATTTAGACAATTCTCATAATTTTTGCAAAAGGCTGTATCATGTTTTAATTAGTTAGTAATTGTAATTTACCTGATGAGATTGACCCTGGATAAATAAAGTATTGTATTGTATTGTAATATGTCACCTTGAGATGAGCTCTCTTGTTCATTATCTGTTGAAACCGATGGTGACTCTACTCTACCATATAAAATTCTGATTTTTCGTTCTCCGCGTGTGATATTTCAGGTCTCAAATTTGACCTAATTAAATGTGCGATTTTGACAATTTTGGGCTCAAAATGAGGGAARGTGGTCCGTCTCGAAAATTATTGACTTTAAAAATCTTTAAACATGGCCATTCTTGACTATATCCAATAGGTTTCTTATGCCGAGAAAATAAAGGAAATTGGCCGACCCCCATCTTTTGAACCTGCCCGGTTTTCTCAGTCAATGTCTCTTAAAAAACATTCTCTTTCGTGTTTTAAACTTTTAAACTATAGCCCATAAAGGTCGGACGCCAATATTTTATATGGCAACATAATCAAAAACTTCAAGATAAATCATCATTTTTAAGAGAAAACCAAAGTTTAAGTCGTATGCAAATCAGGACAAATCTCTTGCTCACATAATAAAGATGTGGTCAAGGCAATGATTTTCCATTGTGCTTGCCTTATGAATTATTAATGAATTTGATAATATTACAGTCTGTATTATACACATTCACAAAAAAGGAATGATGAACTTACTTTAGCATTCTGCTCAAAACTATGTTTACCCTCCCTGGAAGAGGCCTAAACTTCTTTGGTATGGATTCCCAGGTTTTACGTCCCATCAACACAGCATTCTCTTTACCTAATAGATAAGAGTCAAGGCCGTTTGTCAGAAATAGACCCTCTT